GCCAAAAACATACAACTGGCAACTAAATTCAATTTGGTTGCTAAAAAACGTCGCCAAAAATGCTTTTTGTTGTAGTGAATATTTAGGGGTGTTTTGGAAAGTTGGTAAAAAGTTGGCTTTTTGAATTTTTTAGCTTATTTTGTCTTTTTGTGGGTAAGTTATGTAAGAGCTGATGTGACCCAAAATTGGTAAAAAACTGGAAGCTGGTTTTTTACCAGCTTCCCATCCCTCTCTAATCTTGAATAATAAGAGAAGTTCACAATTATTATTATTTTTTTTTTATAACTTAAGGTCCCTTACCCACACACATATATCACAACCGCATCTTAATTTTGGCCAAAGCTTTGAGAATGTCATGGTTGAAATGTAGAGTCGGACAAGGGTGATTTTTTTGTACTTGTAAAAACGCAACAGATTTGACACAAAATAGATTTGATATTTTAAAATTTTGTTTTGACAACAAATGAAAATAAGGGATACGGGAGGTGATTGACGATGGTTAGAGATGGTAGGCGAAGGTGGTTGACGGATGAGGTCATTGTTGGTGATGGTACTTGATAGTGATGAGAATGAATGGCAAAAAGACGAGTTTGGAGCGGATTTGTCATCCTCCACCCCCATCCTATATCATATTGGGAGCGAAAATAGGTTAGTTTTGTAGCTTTAAAAGTAAAAAATTAATAAATTAAAGATAATATAGTATATTATAGATAATAATTTATAATTAATAAGAATTAAAAGATGTAATATGATGAATAAAAAGTACAATATTTTAGTTTTATTATATTAAAAAAATTAAATTATATAAATATTATATATATAAATATATTTAATAAATAAGATTAAGGTAGGGACGGGTAGATTGGGGTGAGAGAGCAATGGATGATAATCGGAAAAAGAGAGAGAAAGAAGAAAAAATGAAAAAACATTAAACAAAAAATGAAACCCACTTTTTTGTGTTTACAAACTTTAATAAATTTTGTAAACTGTTTATAATTTTTTGAAAACTGTAGAGGGTCAGAAATTATAATCCAAATTAAGTATGGACCTAAGTGCGGAGGTCGCCTCTGTTAGGTGACTATGAATAATTAAAGGAGCATGGGCTAAAACCCAAAGGAAGTGGGCCAACAGTGGGCCAAAGTATGTCCGACCAGCCAAGGGTCCAAATAGATTCTACGAAGGAAAATGCCTAAGTGAAGTTGCAGAGGTAACACTTGTAGCGGTCAAGTTGCGGAGGCAACACTTGTGACGGCCAAGTTGCAGAGGCACTTTGCCTCAGCGGTGCCATTCACAATATTGTCGGTTCCGCCACCATCTAAAGTTGTTGAGGGAAGGAGAGAACTGAAGCAACTAAGTTGCAGAGGCATTACTTACAGCGCCCAAGTTGCAGAGGGATTGAGAATGGAGTGTTTGTTTTGAGAGATAGGGAGGGGATTAGTAATCCCTTGGTATTAGTAAGGAGGAGGAAGGGGGATTGGTAAGCAGGAGGTAGAGATGGTATTAGAAAAATAGTGAGGGGATTAGAAATTTTTTTATTTTTTATTTTTTATATATTGGGAATTTTTTTTAAATATGATGTTTATTTTTTTTTATATTTTTTTATTTGTTTTATTATTTTATATAAAAATAATTTAACAATTCCTCACTATTAATCCTCTCACTATCAATCCCCTCACTATTAATCCCCTTACTATCAATCCCTTCTATTCTCTCTCCCAAAACAAACGGGGCCTAAGGTCCTTACCCACACACATATATCACACCCACATCTCGATTTTGGCTAAAGCTTTGAGAATGTCATGGCATGTAGAGTCGGACAAGGTGATTTTTCTGTACTTGTAAAAACGCAACAGGGTCCGATGGAGAGAGAAAGTTCGAGACGTCGGTGCCGATGTTGACACCCACACGGGGCTCTTCTTGGTTCTGTTGCTGCTGTTGCTTAATCTTTGCAAATATTTTGAAATTGAACTGAAATTTGTAGATGTACAAGGATGAAAATTTTGGTGAAAGGTTACCATATCCAAACAACAACACACTGTGTATCCAAGGTCCACAATTCACTTAGGTCATGTTTGTTTGGGTGGACATGAGTTTGGGATTGGACTAATAGTCCAATAAAATTATTAATCCGATGTTTGATTAAACAATTGAAGTACGGATTAGTTAAGATAGGATATATAATCCAACGGATTCATAGTCCTAGGAAACTAAGATATGATACATAATTCAACAGATTCGTAGTCCTAGGACTATTAGTCATGAGAATGCTAATCCAGTCCGCCCAAACAAACATGGCCTTAGTTTTTTAACTTGTTTCACAATTCCAACATCTAAGTATAATTATATCTACACAAGACACATACAGTGACACACACGAACACAACACACATAAAAAAAAAAGTATATATACCTACACAAGACGCATACAGTGACACACACACCACATAAAAAAAAGCATATATACCTACACAAGACGCATACAGTGACACACACGAACGCTACACATACATAAAAACGCATATATACATAGAGAGAGAGAGAGAGAGAGAGAGAGAGAGGACTTGAGATGATGAGTGGTCTGCGAACGAACCACGTGAAGGGGGGCTGATCTCGCCATCTCTAAATTTGATTCAGAGCTATTATAGATGTACAAAGATAGTTCAAGTGGATTTTTGATTGTTTTGCTTAATCTTTGCAAATATTTTGAAATTGAAATTAGATGTACAAAGATAGTTGAAGAGGATTTTGTGAAGTGGGTTTTTTTAGTGTGGGGGTAAAATACAAACACCTCTTCAGATTTTTGTTTAATATAAATCATTCTCTTACATTTAAAAAAGTATATTGACTCTTCTTTGTTAGATTAAAATGACATATTTATCTTTTAACCTTTATACATATAAAATAATACAAATATTTTGTTCATGTCATTTTAAGAAAGATAAAAATCATATTCTTTAGTTCAACACACGCAAAAAATTGAGTTTTTTTTTTTTAATTTTTCATGTTTTTCTATTTTTACTATTCTTCTTAATATTTTAAGTAATTTTTTTTTTGATACACCCAATCTAAATATACTTAAGAAGTGTAATATTTTGTTTTTTTTTTTAAATTCACCAAATAAAAAAAATACAAAAAATTCAATACATTATCTTATTTTGTTGTATTCAATAGATTTTTTAAATTTTTTTGTATAAGTTTTATACTTTTTAAATATAACGGTGGAAATAAAAATGAAAAATTATATTCATATATAAAAATTTATATAAAAAAATTCATAAAAATGTTGTGACAGTGATACTGTTGTAAATATAAATTAGGATGAATTACACTAATTTATTTTTGTCAAATTAGTTTATATTTTATTAAATTGATGATTTTACCCTTGAAATTAAACAATGATATCTTCAATTGTCCTTATTTGGAACAAGATTCAAAATTCAGGATCAAATGTGTCACAATTGAAAAGTCATGGATCAAAGTGACATAAGTCCCAAACTATATAGACTATTAGTATAATTTGCCCTATAAATTATGTTTATGAAGTGAAATGTCACAATTAAACTATATCATTGTATTTAAAAATTCTATATAAAATTTATATTTGTATATCATCACTTAATAAGAATATGTTCAAGAAGAATTTAATGATAGAAAGTTGTACAATATAATCATAATGATAGGAAGAAAAAATTGTAAGAAAAAAAAGATAAGATGGTTATTTAGAAAATTTTAAGGTATAATATCAGCAATCTATGAGACAATTTGTAATGAGATTATAAACTTTAGGAAGGAAATTTTTTTTTAAATATGAGGGAAGGATCTGTATTACATAGAAACCTCATGAGGGGCCAGTGTAATTTACCCTTAATTGTTTTACTTGATATGAGAGTGTGGAGTCTGTGACGGTACAAAGATGAGAAGGAAGAAGAGAGAAAAGAGAGGGGGTAAGATTAGAATCTGCCATAAAGAGACGATTGAGGTGTGATTGTTTCATCTTCTGGTCCTGGCTCGATTAATCCACGCATTGTGTATGGAATTTTTTCAAAGAAATTGGCTAAAACATAAAGAAATTTATGAGCAAATCAGAAAAAATTGATCAAAATGTAGAGAAATTTGTGAAAAAATCAAAAAAATTTAATCTAGAAAATTTCAAAACACAAAAAAATTAGAAAAATTGAACAAATTAGAAAATTTTAAACCAAAGAAATTTAAAATACAAAGAAACTGAAATTTCTTTAAAAAAAATGTTATGAGACCCCACCATTATAAAAATATTATATATATTTTATTTTATAAAATCTTAATATCAAAGATCTTAAAAAAAAATTTCCAAATAAAAATTAATTTATACAAAAATGAAAAATAAAAAATTCATTCGCATTCAATCCATCAAGTCTTCCGTTTTTACGGTTACACAAAACACAACGACCGTCGCCGATTCTCTGTCCTGTCACAAATCATTCTTTATTTACAACTATATTAAAATCATCACTACCAATATTAACTATATTAAAATCATCACCATCAATATTACGCGTATTGTTTACTTAATAAAGGTAAAAAGTGTTTAATTCTCTTTGTTTCTCTTTTTCTCCCGAATCAATACTCGCAATAATTGATATATCAATATGATTATAATATTATCATTTTAAAATTAAAAATTCACCTATTAGAAAAATCTAACATCTTTAAAATTATATACCCCCAATCCGTTAATACCAAGAACGAAACTAAGATTTCATTATAGAAGAGACCAAAAGAAAAATATTTTTTTTCATCATATACACAAAACACACACACATATATATATATATGATATATAAATTATATACACATAAACAAAAATTAAATACCATAAAAAATAATTTCAAATAGGATGAATAAATCTTTTTTAGTATAAAATAAAAAGAAAATTCAAAATAAAAGAAGAATGATATATATATATATATATATATATTTATTTAAAGTCCTATAACAAACAATAATATTCACAAAAATAAAAAGCATGCCACTTATAATTTTCTCCTAATTTCCTCTGGATTGATTCATTATCATTATTCTTCTCTCTCTTTCTACACTTTCCATCTTCAATTTCTGTACAAACTTATGAGAATCAGCCTCCCAACTAGGACGTTCTTCAGACTCTTTCCAATCGATCGGTAAGTGAAATTTCTAAAATACCCGCACCAAAAAAAAAAAATGTTCTTTTTGCTTATATCTTGCTTTACTTGGATTTGGGTTTTGTTCCAAATTCTTTGTTCAGTGATCGAGTCTCTGTTTTTTGATGCTGTAGTTTGTAAATTTGGGGAAGGTTCGTGGTGTATTGAAGTGGGTTTTGTATAGATAGATATTCGATCAGAGGTCCGCAAGTGGTAGATTTTAAGAGTTGAGCTATAAGAAGTTCTAAGTTTGTGTTTGGTGATCTCTTTGATGGAGAAATTATGCTGCTTTAACATTGCATGGGTGCCGGTAATCTTCTCATCTCTTGTAGTTCTTGGATGTTTTATGTTTGTTGTTATGGAATTTTAATCCATGGAAACTAAAAATAAACAAATAAAAGCATTGGAGTTTTCTTGTAATGAGGTTATGTTGTTCTGCTTGATTTTGAAGGGTTTTGTATCTGTATTCCAACATTTTTTAGCTGGGTGGTCTAAGCTTCTGCCATGTTTGACATATGTTGTGGATTCTATAGGTAGCAGATTGATTAATTATTCTCTGTCTTAAATGTATAATTGATCGTGTAAATTGTGTTGATCTAAGAAGTACAAACACTTCTAAGAAGATGATATATCCGCGTCATGTTGTGTTGTGTCGTGTCTGTGTCGGCTACTGACACACTTTGGACACTTTCCCAACATGACACTCTATAAAACGTGTCCTATTTTATTTTATTTTTTTAAAAACTCAAACACTTTTTTAGACACTACACACATGTCTATCACTTTAACACATGTGTCCATCACTTTAACACGTGTCCATCAATTAGACACGTATGAAACTAATTATAATTTTGAACAAAATAACTTAAATTGCAATAATAAAACAAAAACTATATAAATTTATAGGGATTAGTGTTATATTGCATTTTTTTTTATTATATTTGAACGATATATTCATATATATAACCTATAATAAATATATAAAATTATATATTTTATGCTTATTCCCCACGTGTTGTGTCTTGCATTTTTTTAGAATTAATGTGTCGGCGTGTCCGTGTCGTGTTGCGTGTCCATGTCCGTACTTCTTAGGTGTTGATGGGGTTAGTTTCACTTTTTATCCCCCAAACTATTGTCAATTTTATTTTTTTATTTCATTGTTAAATTATCCATTTTATGTATTTAGTCTCTAGAGTGTTTTTCCTTGGTGATGGAAACTTTGCCTGCTAGGTTTTGTCAATTTGCAAATTCTTATAATGACATTGGCTGATATAATGACGATACTAGGTAGCATAGCTATCATTATGGGAGAAGTAGATTGTTGAAATGACAATTAATACAACAGAAGTACAAGCTATCAATTATTTTTCTAGATTGGAATCCTAGAGTTTTTGATTTCTTTTCAAATGGTCCAATTGGAGAGGTCTGTCCCAATCAGTAATGGTGGAAGCCTAACTTAATGGGAAAAAAGGTAATTTTACAATTTGGACAACCAATATCATATAATCAAATACCCATCTTCTCACTCACACTATATTAGAACTTACACCCTACAGCTAAACATCTATAATAACTTTTTGGCCTTTCAAATTAAGCTTCAACACTCACTGATTTAGACAACCGCCTCCAATTGGACCACATGAGCTAAATTCGGAAACTTTGAGGACTAAATAGATGAAAATTTAGGGATGAAATTGAAAAAATGACAATAGTATAGGGATAAAAATGAAATTAACCCTATGTTGATATATATTTTAAAGATCATGTACATTGAATGTAAACAGGAAAGAGTTGACATTGAACCATTAGGATCTCAGCTGTCACTTCACTTGTAATCTTCAATCTAGTCTGAGGTTGCATTTGGAAGCCTTTTGAATTTAATGGCCTGGTTGCACTTTCTGTGTCATTTAAAAACTAAACATTCACCTGGTAAAATGGAACCATGAACGAAAGTTGGGAACTTTATTATATTTCTTGGTATGTGTTCCTTTCTACATTTCAATGAAATGAAGAAATTAAAAATAAATAAATTATAAAATTGGAAAAATAAGATGAATTTTGTTTCTAGGATTTTCCAGGTTTATGCGATATGAACTTGTTTGAGCATAGTTTGTGTCATAATTATGATCTTAATTGTAAGACGACAACCATTTAACCTAATGGCTCCATTCAAGATTATAGATTTCTACCTTAAAATGGCATGCGAAATGTCAACGGGCACATTCACTTTTATGGAGCATCTAAAGAGGCCCCAATACCCAAAAGAATCGACCATGGAGATTCTATCATATCAAATGGAAGGAAAATCCTGGAATGAAAACATCTTAACAAATGGAAAAGGTTTTTGCACACAAGAATTCTAATGAGAATTAATGAATCTTTATTAAGAGGATTGTTTGTATCTGCAGTATGGTCTGTCTTTACCACAATTGTATAACGAGATAGCTTTTTCGGTATTGTTAAAAGTATATAATTGCAATAAACAGATGCTGTCTTAATTTTCATGAAAGGTCACTTTGGGGCTTCATTTCGTTTGAAAGAAATGTAACCAATGATGTATTGTATTTTTTTAGTTTTATTTTCATCATACCTTTTCCTCGCCTGAGTAGTTTTCGATGAATTGAGAGGTTAGTGTGTAGGAGTGCATTCCTCATATAGCTCCGGCAAGGGAAGAAGCCATGAGGGTGAAATCAGGTATGGTTTCAGCATAGTGAAAGGGAAGGCTAATCATCCCGTGGAGGATTACCATGTTGCTACATTCATACAGATGGAAGAGCATGAGCTTGGGCTGTTTGCTATATTTGATGGCCATTTGGGGGATAGTGTTCCTGCCTACCTACAAAAGTACCTGTTTTCCAACATCTTAAAAGAGGTGGGGTGATTCAAAATAGTAAAATTGGTGATATGTTTGGTTTAGTTTTTAAACAAAATTAATTTCAAATTGATGTTATATTACACTAATGGGTTTAATTGTTCTAGGAAGAGTTTTGGACTGACCCAAGTAGATCTATCTCAAATGCATATGAGAAGACCGACCAAGCAATTCTTTCACAGAGCTCCAACTTGGGAAGAGGGGGGTCTACTGCTGTTACTGCAATTCTGATAAATGGACAGAGACTGTTGGTAGCAAATGTCGGAGATTCACGAGCAGTTCTTTCAAGAGGGAGTCAGGCAATACAGATGACTACAGACCATGAGCCTAACACTGAACGAGGCAGCATCGAGAATAAAGGAGGTTTTGTCTCAAACGTGCCAGGTTATTCACAGTAACCATTGTTCTATGAGCCCATTGATAAAAAAAAACGTTGACTTTTCTGAATTTAATTGTGGATATCACTATTGTTTTTTATTTTTATTTTTTAGAAACAATTTAGTTGTCAATTACTCAAGACTCATCATATTTTAAAGTGAGGCTTTAGATTTTTTTACCTGTGGTACAATTTATATCTATAGGTAGGGGTTCTGAGAAGCAAACTAATTCCAAGTTTCTTATCCTCTTTTTGCCATTTTATTTCCAAATAACACAAATTGCTTGAATCTCTTTATTAATTATCTTAAACCCAAATATGCTTCCAATTCCAAATGCGGTACAGCCAAACAATAAACTGGTTCATGTAAACAGACGGTAGTGCAATCACTTAAGACGCACGAAAAAACTAAAAATAAGAATTGAGAAATGAGAAATGAAGTGAAAAGATACTGTATGTGTATGCTTTACCTTGTTTTTAATTCATCAACTATTGAAACTTTTGAGATCTATTTTTTCCTGAATTTTGAATTAATCAATTTTTCTTCATGAAATGTAATTGTTGTTATTCTATTTAATGAGCATTGGTTTAATGTTCTAATCTTCATTTAACTCTATACCGTTGTTGGACATTTTCCCAAAATATGAATTTTAAATTTATTTTTGCTTGGTTCACACCTTTTATTATGCATATGGAATTTGTAAAGTATTTGTACCAACATTATATTACATCCACTAAGGCCTAGCTCTAATTAATTATCTAGTACTTTTAGAAGTGCAAAGTTTGTGTTCTTTTCCCTGTCTAAAGCTACTGAAGCAATCCTGATTAGGTCATTAGATTAACCATATGAAACATGTGCAACATGCATCTTAATCAACAAAAGATTCAGCAAGATCTAAGATGCAACAAAGTGATATGGGTTTAGCATCTCCTTGGCTTGGTGTCACGGGTTGCCCTTTCAAGGCCAACACCGCGATGGTTTGCATGTGTGGTGTGACCTTTGGAGTGCTCAAGAGTGGCCCTTGGAAATGCCTAAGAGGATGGCATTGAGATTCCAAATTGACAGTTCGACCTCCCAAGGTTGGTCCCAAGCAGCGCATGGTGCACATGCCGACACTAGCCAGCAGCACTCCCAAGCAGCCAACAGAAGCACACCCCGCCCATGTCCCCATGCGCACCTGGCCTCTTGCCCACGCCCCTCTGCACATACCTTCCAGACTTGTCCCACGTGAGCATGCGTGCCCAGCAGCGCTGGCAGCTTGCTAGCGCAGCTTTGGGGGCTTCTTTGAGACACCAAATGGTTGAGTTTTCGGCCAATATTTTTATTGGGATGAACCCATGGGATGAGGGTTCTTGCTGCCAAGGTTGGTGGTTTTTAAAAAAAAATGTGGAATAATGAAAAATGATACGATGTCTCTAGCAATGAGCATGTTTCCTCTTGCCAGTTTGTCGAGGGCTTAAAATGCTACTATAAAGGGGTATAGTGTGCTACTAACCAGCCTCCGTGCCCAAACTGTGCATGAAGTGAGCAATATTGAGGCAACTTGAGGTGGGCTTTGGGTATCCAAATGGATGTCTAAGGTCTCCATGTGGGTTTGGGAGCCCTATGTCCAGTGTTATTGAGGGGAATTAGTGTTGGCATTGCATGTACCTCCCAAGTGCAGGGTTTGGGACGTGCACCCACGAGCCCCCGCATTGTAGCATCTTGGGCGTCGTTCTAGATCGAGTGGGCTGTCGAGGTTCCACTGTGAGCCTCATGTGCCAACTCACAGGCATGGTTTGGGTTTGACTTTGCACATAGGGGTTTAGTTGCACAAAGAGAGGGAGGGGACAGGAGTAGAAGCAGGAACGGGGGCAGAGGAGTAAGGGCATATAGAAGTTTCTTAGGTTGGGAGTGTCTATGGAGGTGTATATATATATTCTTCAAATATATAAAGATATTCTAACAATTATATAAATATTTGATTGATACTGGGGTGTTCGGATCAAAGCCCGACTAATCCCAAGGGTGCACAGGCCCTCGACCAGGAGTTTCTCGCAAGTGTACCACGGTTAATTCAAGGTTTTTTTATAGTCCGATGGCCCCAAGAAATTGTTAGACCCTAAGAGGCTTCGATCCTTGAACCTTGGAGGGAGCACATCCCTTGGGGTTATTCTAACGATTATATTTTGCTGCTTAGTTACAATATATGTATTAAAATATAAATAAATATTAGAGGTTGATGTCAACTGCAAATTGTTTTTTATTACGTATAAATAAAAATTATATAAATAGAAACTACTAAAAAAAGTTTTGAGATTTGTCTTTTTTTTTATTCTTTTTTTTATGAGATTTATATGTTTGAGAGGTTTCTATCTCAGGTTAGAGTGAGTTTCTTTCTTAACAGGGGCGAGTTTCTTACAAGTTTCTTACTTGGGAGCGTGGAATCATGTTTCTTCGTAAGAAACGACACTCGAGTAGAAGGTTCCTGCTACTAATTGTAGGGGTCCCGTGGCTAAAGGCATGTGACATGGAGGAATGCCCCATATGTGGGCCATCGAATGAAGGCATCAAACTAGTCTATGCAACAAGCACCTTGTGCTTGTTGAGTGAGATGTAGCGCTACAATCAAGCTACGGATTGACATGTTGTCTAACTCAGTCGGTACATTAGTGCAACGCTAAAGGCGTGCAATGGCCTTGGGTAGAATCTAGCATACATGCAAGCATGAGGACTACATCGTGAGCACAAGACTATCCCTCGATGACTTGTGGGTTGTGCATGACCCTGTGGCTACTTGATATGCATGAATTGAGGCATGTTAGACCCCGTGACTATTTGAGTGCTATCAAAAGACCTTGCATGGAGTTAAAGCTAGTCACCTAGGTCAGGGACCTTTGCTAACACATCCTTGTGTTGCTAGGTGCCTTGATGACATGAACCTTTGTTAGGCAAGTGCCTTACTTGGGAGGAGCATGGTGCTATGAAGCAACTTAAGATGTGCTTGGTGCTCTTAAGACATCGAGTCTACTCATGGCATCTGGGAATGCGGAGCTTACCTCATGGGAGTTGTTTCTTCTTGACAAAGCATTAGACCTTGAAAGATCAAATGGGTTAACTTATGAACACTTGAATTGTTGGTGAAGATTGGCGGGCTTAAACTTGATAGAGTTTGAGTGCCACATGGGCAAAAAATTGTTCCGCTGCATCCTAAGAAGCACGGATACGAATACGAATAGGGATATGGATGCGGACACGGGACACAGCGATTTTTAAAAAATTGGGACACGGTAATAAAATATGTTTTCATATATTTTTATTTACTATCTAGATTAATATTACATCCACAAACAATCAATATTAACAAAAATAACTATAATTCTATATATATATTTTTAAAAAGCAGTTTTAAATTAACATTTGTAATTTATAATATATATATATATATTTTTTATGTATGATTTATTAAGTATTTAAATCTAAGAAAATGATAATAAATATTCAACATTAAAAAAAAAAAAAAAAAAGACAACTTGACATGTTCCTAGTGTGTGCCCGGCGTGTCCTTTGAAAATAAATTGGTTACATCATGTGGCGTGTCCCATATGTGTCCTTGCCATTGTCTGTGTGTTTGACACGGATACAACACTTGTTTTGAAGTGTCGGTGCTTCATAGACTGCATCTCTAAACGAGTCAGCCTGTGATACTTGGCCAAGTGTTTCTCCACGAGGGCACCCCATGCGGGATCTTTGAAGAATTTGTGACTTGGAGGCTGGAATTGAGGGATTGTCATGGTTGCCTGAGTCTCCCCAGGATGGCTCCACCTTTACTGGCCTAAGAGAGAGAGGCATTGACCAAGACATGTTACACTTTGAAGTTTGTATCATGCGTACCCTAAGGTTTATCATATCTGCCCACTATAACCCCATGATATGGCCACTGAAGTTTTCCATGGGCATGGTAGCTAGGTGAGAATTCTTTGGATTATTGAGCAGAGAGGATTGAGCCACCTGGTTATAACTGAGTTGTGCCCTGTCGTCCTGTTCTTCGCTATAAGGGACCTTCTCTATAGAGAACAAATCAATCAACCCGCTTCCGTCCAACGAACCAAAAACCTCTTCATTTCCACTCTGTTCCTGAGGCTGCCTCCACTCTCTCCTCCACCTTTGGCGGCCATGATCCTTCATTGTGTCTACTTTCTGTTGAATTCACCCCATGTGAAGGGGAAATTGTCTTGTGAACACACCTTGGTTGGTCAACAAGGAAGTAGGCTACCAACCATGTCAGCCACCTGGTTATAACTGAGTTGTGCCCTGTCGTCCTGTTCTTCGCTATAAGGGACCTTCTCTATAGAGAACAAATCAATCAACCCGCTTCCGTCCAACGAACCAAAAACCTCTTCATTTCCACTCTGTTCCTGAGGCTGCCTCCACTCTCTCCTCCACCTTTGGCGGCCATGATCCTTCATTGTGTCTACTTTCTTCCCAGAAGGCTATCCACCATCCATCTCAGCATCCAACTAAAAGATAATTATGGGATCATATAAGATTGCAACAAGGGGAATCTTCTTGACCCGTTTTCATCCCTAACATCTGAATGGTGAACCTTACTTGAATGGATATCCGAAGTTTTTTATGTAGGCATTTGATGTTATAATTCATTGTCCTGAAGGGCCACCAGAAATAGCGGCACCCATTTCATAAAGTTTTGATGATAATGGCCACTTCAACTATGGGTGCACTACTTTGGGAGATGGATTTATACCTTCAAATTCTATTTATAAATTATAACAAAGTGGAGGCTTTTTATTTCCATGCATCACCGAACTCTATAGAGATATTTTATTTGAGTAATGCTAGTGACACTAAATGTTTTATCAAATATTCTACCAGATGTCTCATATGGGTGTGGGACCCACATGAGACCCACATGGTATGGGTCCCACACTCATGTGAGACATTTGGTAGAATATTTGGTAAAACATTTGGGCCCTCTAGCATTACTCATTTTATTTTAACATTCAGCATCTTTTCACATTTGAAACAAGCATAGAACAGTATCCACATTTGCTACCTCCTGCCAGTAAGGTGAAAACCTATGATATCTTTGCTTCTAGCCAGAACAGAAAAATTAAGGCTTGTAAAGATAGATTCAACAAAATTGTTAAACACCAAATAAATAGAACTGAACTTGCAGTGCTATTCAGTCATTATTTTTTAGAATTGAACTTGCAGAGGTAATTCGGCTTTGTCTATGCTTCACGATTCCCCAAAATGCCTTGTTTGCGACTGCATGTGCGATCATGCTTTTTCCTTTCTTTCTTTCTTTCTTCTTCTTCTCCAACTTTTGGTGGCGATTATATGAACATCTAATCTGAGGGAAACTTTGAGTATGTCTTGTACACCTCTCTGATTTGCGTGTATTGTGAACTGTGTTGCGTGAATACTTCAATAAACTGACATGGTTCTCTTGCATCTTTTTATGTTCTTGAACTAGAAATTTACATCCGTTGATATAACTTGATCAATCAAGGTTCTTAATTGGGGTAAAGTTTATTTGAATTTCACCATGAAAACAGTCGATATGAATGTTAAAGAATGATGTCTGTTGCACCTTTCTATCAGGTGATGTTCCTAGAGTGAATGGACAGTTGGCTGTTTCTCGTGCTTTTGGAGATAAAAGCCTTAAATCACATTTGCGGTCGGACCCCGATATTCAAGACACCATTATCGATTTCAACACTGATGTTCTTATCCTTGCAAGCGATGGTCTTTGGAAGGTAACACACACTAGGAAGCAAATAGTTGTCTTGATAAGTATATCAAAAAAGATTATTATTGTTTTTTATTTTATTTTTCATTCATTTGATATGTGATTAGTGCAGGTAATGGAGAATCAGGAGGCAGTTGATATTGCAAGAAGAATGAGAGACCCCCGGAAAGCGGCCAAGCAATTAATTACCGAAGCATTAGAGAGAGACAGTGAAGATGATATATCTTGCATTGTTGTTAGATTTAGGGGATAAGAGCTTTTAAACCATATTGGTTTTCAGCTGCAAACTATTTTTGAAGTAAGTGTTTCTTTATACAAGATTCAAATCTATGGATAAATCTAACAGCAAAAGACATACCCAATTGGGTTGAATGAACCTCGCAAGTTTTTGGCCCAACTACGAAATTGCCAGAAAACACAGAAAGGAGAGAATGGAAAGCATCCCCCTGTATATTTTAATTTCTCCATTAGGTTTGATGTTAAACAATGTGATGTATATCATCTGCTAAATCGTGCACACGATGAAAAGCTATGTAGATGGAAAACATGAGTTCAATTATAAATAAGGGACTTCTTTTTGTGATACAGTTATGATAAACCATTTGTCTGTCTTTTCTTCAAACCCATGTTGGTTGTGGTTGTCCAGATCATTTTGAATTGATAGTTTACAAGATGATTGTGTGACAGATACTAAAAATGGCAGCTCTAAATTTTAAATTTTCTGTCTAGTTTCAAAATTTGAATCGGGAATGATGACATATTGTAGGTACATGTGTCCATGTTTATTACATGGCTTCTCCACGTTATTCTCCTGGTAATTAGCACCATCTGGTGGTCTTACAAGGCAATAGGTCTTGATGTGTCTCTGCATATCGTGCCAAGTCTAGGCACTAAGCGTGCCATATTAATACATCACTAGCATAGTTCTCTGGCTCAGAAGATCTCTATTGTCACCTTCTTTCCTCTAAGAGTCTCATCTACATCTTCCTCCACCTCCAATGATCCCATGCCAACTGAACACTTACCATCTTCCTAAATCACCTTCTTCCAATCACTCTAAACTCAGTCAATTGCATTTATGAACATGTATATTTTGAACCATTCAACTATGAAAATGTGTCACATGTCTAAGCTCAATCACTCGCATTTATGACTCAGGGCATTTGGCTTAGTGGTTGTATAACACTCTTTTGTGGTGTGAGATTTTGGATTCAACTACTATGTAGTACAGTTTGATATCCTTTGTAGTGGTATTTATTTCTCTCAAATTACAAGGGTTATATATAATTAGTAGTGGTTGTTGGGCTTGGTTTATTGGTGGGTTAGGCTTTGTCAATTTTCTAACTATTGTGGGCTACTGTCTATCTGATGATGCGAATATTTTCATATTTATAATCACTCTCATATTGATTGTAAGAATATATATATATATATATGTGTGTGCGTGTGTGTGTGTGTGTGTCACGTTATCCCTTTTAGACCACCTTCAAAATAGGTGTATTTTTACAATTTTCAAAATTGAGGGGGTCAAAATATATGGATTCTTAGATAATAAGAATAAAATGATATTCACTGATAGTTGATGAAACGTTGGTGTAATCAACCAAAAATTTAAAAAAAAAAAAAAACAAAAAGAGGAAAGTGAAAAATCAAAAAGAGATAAAATCAAGAGTTAGCAATTTTATTTTATTTATTTATTATTTTGAGTAAACTACCAATAAGTCTTAATAGTTTGACTTAATTCCTAACAAGTCCTATTGAAAATAAGTCCTATTAAAATCATCACTAAAAATTATTTTGTGTGACAATTTTTTTTGTATATATCGCTAAAAATTGACAATTGCGAACTCTTTTTTGTCACGAATTTACAAATTGTTGCCGAAAGTTAAAAATTAATGATTTTTTTTTGTGATGATCTTTTTAAAGTGTCATTAAAACTTGTAATTAATGACATTTTTTTGTAATAATTTTTAAATTGTCGTTGAAAATTAACAATTAGTGACTTTTTAAATGGTGTTTAATGAAAAACGCCATTAATTCTTACGGGACCTACTGAAAAATAAGTCCACTCATTAAGACTTACATGTAAATGTTCTTATTAATTTTTGGTCACTTACGTGTAGCCTAATCTAAAAAGAAGGAAAAAGGGAAAGGAGATAATGCTTCGTATGGGGCTTGAATCTGCAACCTCTTTTATTGGATTGGAGAGCATATGAGTTGGCATAAGGGCATGTGTTTTCCTTTCCAACCTCAAGAGGTTGGCACTGGTGGTCAAGGCTTAAGCTTGGTTGTGTGCTCCCTCTAAGATTTCATAGTCAAAATCTCTTAAATACAAGTAATTTCTTGGAGCAGTCCATACGAGATTTTACCCTAATTTTAATTGAGACGCCTACAAGTGAATGGTTAGATTGGTTCCATAAATTAATCGGTCTAATAGATTGAATATCGAATTATAAAAAAGAAAAAAAATGTGTTTCCTTTCCATATGTCATATGGTGAATTTTGATTTGTACAAATCAAGGACAACACTAACAGTACCATTGTCGAAAACAGCAAGGGTAAATTACAAATACACCCTCTGAGGTTTGCTTAAAGTAAAGATTATCCCCTGTGGTTTGAAAAATTACAAATACCTCCTTATTAATATTTTTTATTTAACAGAATTAACTAAAACAATGAAATTCATAATTGCTCTCTTATACAATAATAAAATTACCTAAATTATTAATTGAAACATATTTCTAACATCATTAAAAACTGTTAATTGACTTGATGATTTATTAATAAAAGAGGTGATTTGTTATGAAATTAGAAACCTCAGATGGTGGAACATAATTTCCAAAACTATAAGAGGCGATTTGTATTTTAATCAAACCTCAAGGGATGTATTTGTAATTTACCCAAATAGCAAAATGTGCCCTACAAAATTAATTTGAAACAAATAATTACATTTGAGTATTGAAATTTATCATCACATGTGTAATTTTATTATGGGTAAATTATAAATATCCCCCTAAAATTTGTTTACAAATTATTACTTATGGTTTGAAAAATTACAAATACTCCCTTGTTAGAATTTTTTATTTTATAGAATTAACTAAAAAAATGAAATTTATTAGGGTTGGGCATAGGTTATCCAAACCGCCCAACCGCATACAAATGAGCGGTTTTGCAAACACAATGCAGGTGGATGCGGTTTGAAATATGACATGTTTGCGGATTGCGGGTTTAATCCGCATCCGCAAACACCCATCCGCAATTGCGTGTGTATGTTTTTTTTTTTTAATTTGAACTGTTGATTTCATTCTTATCCTATGCCCAACATACAAAACCCTAATCTCTCAACTCAACAACTGCGCAGCCTCTCTCTCTTTGTGGCGAGTCGACTGATTGACCTTTAACGATCGACCTTCGATGATCGAACCTTCTCCAGCAAGATCGACCTTCACAAGATCGATGACCTTCTCTGGCAAGATCGACCTTCGACCATCTCTCTCTCTCTACCGGTGACCTGCGATGATCAACATTATCCGTGTAAGTTTGAATCGATCTTTAGTTTTTGATTATATGCATTTATGAGTAACTTTTTTGCTGCTATAATTTACTTTTAATTCTCATTGTTATGAGTTTGCTTAGCCATGTAACTTTTACTTGTCTATTCTAGGCCAGGGATCCTGTGTCTTTAAAATCTTTCTTTTTATGGTGAGAAATGTATTTTTGTCTAGAAATGTGTTTGAATAGGGGAACAAAGATTTTGGGGATAGAGAATCTGACCATCTGTTCCAAGTGCTCTCAAGATGTTTATTCTTCATTGTTGATTGTGTATCATATGCCAATTCAATTTTCCATATATATAAAGACCACAGTATAGTAGCTTTGTAAGTAGGTTGCAATGTGCTCAATTTTCCACATATACACTGCTTGACTAAGATTTTGTTTCAATGGTGATTAAGATTTTGGAAATTGAATTAGAAGTGGAAATTAAATCTGTTTATTCTCTGAGTTTATTTCGCAATAGAAATGGGCAAATTGAATTAGAAATAGGGGAAAAAAAGGCTCAAAAATAAATTTTCAAAGAAAAAAGTCAAATCCTCAAACCGACCACACATCCGCGAACCCTACCCACACAAACCGTAAACTGCATTGCGGGCGGTTGTAGGTTAACTTTTTTCCAAACCACATAGATGCGGTCGGATCAGTAGCCCGGCTTTCTGCGCTCTTTTTAGAAGGCGAATAGTGTCACGACCCAAACCCGCCCCTGTAGGTTTAGCACCGTAACCGGCTAGTAATCCGTGGATTACCAAAGGCCTCTGAACAGATTAACAAATAATAAGGGGCTGCGGAAGCAATAATACAAAATAGATAAGGTCCAATGAGCTGTGACAACGTACATGAGACAGAACATTTTAAAACTTATTTATATAAACATAAACATGCCAGTCAAGGACACCAATAATTACAAAATAATTATAGAAGTGAACTTCCCAAGATTTGACTATACAGTGCAAACACTAAGACTAGCATGAAATACAAAAACAGCCATGGCACTAGGCTTCGATCGGAACCTCCTCGGAGGCACAACGGTTGGCTGACAAAAAAGTACAAAAGGCCGTCAACTCTGGCCCTGGTCATGTGCCGGCTCACCTACATACATAATATAACCTGTGGGCGAAAGCCCAGTGAATAATAACAGAGCAAAGGGGTTATATGAATGATGTCCAGCACAAGTTAGAATTCAACATTTAAATCAGAGCATAGTCAGACTTCAAACAGAAACAGATTCATATACATTTTCATATTCAGATTTTGCATAAGATCATACGTGGTACACCCATTAGCTATCAGATTAGATTGGTCCAGAGACCCGCATACATAGTTGGTACCAACGACCACAAAGGTCTATAACTTGCGCGCAAGTAGCCATGGTATTGTACCCCCAAGCAAGGGCCACGTGCAGATTGGCCGTGGTATTGTTACCCCTGGGCGAGGGCCACATGCAGATTGGCCGCGGTATTGTTACCCTCGGGCGAGGGCCACGTGAACTAAGGTGCCACAATTACTTTTCAGAAAATTGGACATTCATTCATAATTCGTAAGATAGCATTTCAAAAAACAGATCATACAATACCAGTTAGAAAATACTTAAGTTGAATATAGCTTTACAGAGTTATTACTCACAGTGGGCTTGGAGACAGACAGACAAAGCAGATCGGTCAAACAGGACTGGCACGTGACCTACACGACACATAACAGATACACACTTGAAACACACGTTCTAATTGTACAAAACTTATTTCATTCGCTCTTAGTGTGTTTCTAATCTCTTACCCTCACTATAGAGTCTTAAACATGGCCTAAGAATGCCTAGGATGGAATGAGGATGCAAAGATGCGCTTTAAAACACTTTTCAGAATTTTCAGAAAATAGGGGTCTCACTCGAGCGTGGCTTTCTACGCTCGAGCGGACATGCAGACAAAGGATCTCCGCTCGAGCGTAACTTCCTTTGCTCGAGCAGACTGTAAACTACAATAAAAGTACTGGATGCACAAAAATCACGCTCGATGGGCGCTCGATCCACGCTCGAGCGTAAGACACAAG